GGATGCCCCCCAGACCGACGGGCGTCGACAGCCCCAGCAGCGGGGGACTCCGCCGCGCCGCAGGCAGCTCGCCCTGCGGTCGCCGTTGCGGTACCTGCTGCCGGCAGACCCGCGCCTGCCTGCAGCTCAGTACTTTTCCAGCTATGGATACCATATGCTCCGTCCCCATCCCACCAAATCCCATCTCCAACTCGCCTTTGAGACCAAGCCAACGTCCCCGAGTCCACCTGTCTTGAACTAATTCTGTTTTGGGACACCGTGTTCTCCTGATTTTCTATAGATCGCGTTTGCAGTGCCACAGCCGGGCAGCAGCAGTTTGTGTTTATGTCAGCCCTACACAAAACAAAAGCCCGGGGTCGCTGCCAGGGCTGGACTGCAGCAGCTGACCCCAGCGCTGCCCCACAGACAGTCCTGCCTTGCAAGCCTCCTCTTTTTCCCTGTTTCATTAAAACCCAGAGGAGTATCATGTTTTCTAGCTGGAAAATGAAGTGCAAGGAGGGGAAGGAAGCGTTGCTCCCGCCCCCCCCCCAGCCACAGAGCTCAAACTCTCCCCCTTTCATCTTCGTGTGGCCACTTCAAAGTCTCCAGCCAGGGAAATATTTGCCTCCGTTGGCTTGGCCCCGGGCACGTGGGTGGACAGAAGTATTTGGTGTTGAATGTTACAGCCCCTGCGAGCTCAGGGCATGTCATGCCGTCAGGAGACACCCGGCACCGGGGCCCGCAGCCAAGCTGTGCCATGGGAACCCAGCCGCCCGGCGAGAAGGTCTTGGAGGGTCTTGTTGGGTCAAAGCCATAAAGCTGCTGCTCCGGAGCTGGTTTGAAGCAGGGTCCTTCCCTTTGCCATGGCACGGCTTGTTCCCAGCAGGGCAGCCGGTCCGTTCCCAGCTCATCGTCATGCTAGCCGGTGCCGCTTGTCACACGCTTGTCTCACTTGAACCCCCCCGCTTTCTCCAGGGCCAAAAAAAAGGGAAAATTACATGCTCTTGCACCCGGGGCCACCTTCGAATGGTGGGTTTGACTCGGGAACAAGCAACCCCAGAGTCACGGTCCCCAGCACGGTGCCAGCCGCTGGCTGCCTGCGGCCAAGGGCAGAGCCGACCTCAGCCTCCCCGTCCCCGTCTGCCCCTTTCCTTGAGGGATGCGCGCTCAAGCCCCATCAGCCAACCATCGCTCCTAGAGGTACCCGCAGAAGAGGCTGAAAATAGAAATTCCACTGGGTAACACAAAACCCCCGAGATGCTAAACAAGCTCAATGAGGCATGGAGGGAGAGATAACCCGGGAAGCGGCAGCAGGATGAATGGGGCTGGCCGGGGGCGGCAGCACAGCCCGTCACTCTTCACATACCTCCCATCGCCGGCTCACACCCGGGATGTTGGGATGGGGATGGGGATGCTCCCGGCATCACCGCAGCAGCCCCCCGGCTGCCCTCCCCTGCCCAGGTCCCTGCAGGTGAGCAGCCGCTGCAGTGAGTCAGGGCTCCCGGGTGCTATTCCTGGCTCGCCACTGACTCATTAAGTTACCTTGGGCAAGTCACTTCCCTTTTCTTTTTTATTTCAGCCACCTGCGATGGGGGAAATGCTGCAGAGCCCCCGGGCAAGAGCTCCTGAACTGGGGGGGGGACACGGCCCGAGCCCAGCCTCGGCACAAACGAGTCATTAGGGGAGCGTCGAGCTCTCCTCCCGGCAGCGGAGATGCCGTCGTGCCGGTGCATCCCTCCCCGGGGGTGGAAGGATGCAGCCAGCGCTGGGGAAGAGGGATGCAGCTCCCATCTAGGTCGGCGGGGAGGGCGGGATGTGACATGCTTTAGCATCCATCTGGGACCAGCTTTAGTCTAGCCTACGGGAGATGCATCAGCTTTGTTATGACGCTGCCTCTTCGGTATTAAAAACGAGATTTCGCTTGCCTTTCCTAACAGAAATCCTCACCTGAAGAGAGGCAGGGCAGACAGCCAAGAAACAGAATAGAGGATTCCCAAGGAAGAAGAGGGTACGAAAGGAGAGTCTTGCAAACAGCCCCGGCAACAGCACCCTGCCGCTCCCTGCTTGCATCTCCCCGCGCCCCCGGCCCATTGCTCCCCCCGTGCTGCCGCCCGCTCGGCCCGAGCTCCCGACGAGCCGAGGCAGGAGCCAGCTGGCAACCGGGAGCCCGCATGAGCGGAGCGAGGGA